TAACTCCGACTGGATTCGTCTGAAAGAAGAAAGTCATATACACCTAGGATGCATCGGGGGTGAGTAAAACGCAGCCTCATTTTTATTTAATGTATTATATTAATTTAAATTCGAGCTTTGGATGTTTTCCTCTTATTAGGTCATTTAAAGCCATTAACTCTCTTACTGACTCCCTTATTAGTGCGCTGACTACTGAACTAGGAAGCTTATTGAGACGCACCCAGAGATTGTTTTAAATTATTTTTCCTTTCTGTTATCATGAAGATTGAAGAAGCATTCAGAGTGAAACATGAAGATACTGAGACCCAAACAAAGATGGCGTTTATTATAGAGGAGAGTGAAGACATGAGGATTGAAGAAGCATTCAGAGTCAAACAAGAAGATACTGAGGAACAAACAGGTTGGTTTTCATTCTTAAATCTGAACTCATTCATTTCATCCTTATTAAAATGTCCAGCTCTACAGAAATTATCTTTATGGACAATGTCATAATTAAAGTGGTTTTATTTGGACATTTGTTTTTATGACATGTAGGGTTGGGTATCGTTTGAATTTGATTGATTCCAGTTCAGATTCAGCTTATCATTACTAGTTTCGATTCCAATAAAGTAAAAAAAAAAAAAAGAAAAGTCAAACATTTAGTTGTCAAACTAATTTATTTTCTGTCTTTTTACAAAGCATTCTGTTGCAGCTGCATAACATAAGCAAAAATTAGCAGCCTACAGAACACTTAGAACACGTTTTAACAAAAATACCACAGCCAAAACAATTAGACTAATTTTCAAAATAGACTAAATTTCAAAGTTGGCGCCGATAGCCTTGTGGTTAGTGCGTCGACATATAGCGCAACTGCGCTCACGGCGACCCGGGTTTGATTCCCGCCTTGAGGTCCTTTGCTGTTCCTGCTCCCCTCTCTCCACCCAACGCTTTCCTGCCAGCTCTCTCACATTAAAGGCATAAAATGCCCATAATTATAACATAAAAAAAAAAAATCAAATGTCAAATTGTTAAAGGGGACATCGGATGCCTGTTTTGCACAAGTTGGAATGATTCTTTAGGGTCTGCATGAAATATCTTTAACATACTTTGGTTAAAATTCTTCAATGGTAGTGTAAAACGACACCATTTTACCTTGAAAATAACAGCTCTGTTCACAGCGACCCATTTCGGTGCATGTCTCTTTAAATGATAATGAGCTACTGCTCACCCTGCCTCTCTCTTCCCTGGAACAGGAAAAGCATTTTGCAAATAATCATAAACAATATTAAGTGTGAGACTTAATTTTTCTAGAGGTGCAGCTGGATCATGAACAATAGGTACTGATCCATCTGTGAGTTTTAACTTTTTAGCAAAGCCTGCCTTGAATTGTCCCTCGTTCAGAAAGCAGTCTGGAGTAAAATGATTTGTGCAGATATAAACGAATTTAGGTGTATTTGGTGGTGCATTACCATTAAAAAGAAAACTAACCCACTGCGTCCTCAGTGGCTCTTACGTTGATAGAACATGAAGACTCTTATGTTCACTTTTACATCTACAAAACGAGATGTTGCTACAGCTGCTCAAACATGAAGAAAATGGTGGACAGTGTACAACTGGTTGTAAGAATATACTAATAATACGGGATAGTCTGTTAGCGTTTGTGGGCAGGGCTTGAGCTGTATGATGTCATATTGCTCAGAAAATCAAAACATCTTGATTATTGAGACTTCAGGTTTTTTAGGGATTAAAAAAAAAGTAGTGAATGGATTTTTTTGATCATTGTAGGGTGTTGTGTCCACACACTGCTAAGACATGATATGCTAACACCATGTAAAAGTGGATTTTGCATCCAATGACCCCTGTAAAGTCAAGTACAGTCAGTAATAAAATGGGAACAACATCAGTTAACAATAGCATAAATAAATTCAACTGAACAAATTTCAGGTATAAAAATTAAAATCAAAAGTTTAAAAAGACAGCATAGTTTTCATTTCATTAAAATATATATTAATCCTCATTAAAGTTACAAAAAATATTCAGTCAAGATCAGTGAATGATTTTCTTTTGTTCTTTGATTAACATTAATGACAGTCAGCACATGTTTATTAGGATATACTGTCTCTTTAACACCAAACGCACGTGGATTTAAAAAATACTGTTACACACACGCTTTCTTTCTCATCTGTTTATGTTCACTTGAGACAAAAATGGGTGTGTTTACAAGGATATACTCACATAATTATTGGTAGCAAAATGTAAAATAGAGGAGTCTGTTCTGGCTCGGAACTACCTTTTCTGGAGATGCACGGAACTCTGTGTTCGCGCTTCAAATGTGCGCACGCGGCAAGCAAAACAGTGCGCAAGTTCCTTCCCTTCTTGCACTTGACTGGTTTAAAATCACATCAAAATGTTAACGCAGGAATCGTTAAATGGAATCGAAATATGCGAGTCTTACCAAATGCCCGGTTCTTGGAAATTTGGAACTGATTCTCAAAACCCAACTCTAATGACATGTCACGTATTGTCATGTTACATTATGAAAAATTAGAGATAAGTAGACATACATGCCTTTAAAAACATACATTTGTACTTGAAGTTCACTTTCGCTCTATTGTTCTATTTTTGTGTATTTTTATTTTAGGTTTTCTCTAACAGCCCTATAGGCCTACAGAACAGGGTGTAAAAAAAGTAAATTATAAATTAACTTCATAGTGGATTCCAAGTGATCAAGAGATTTGGATTAAGGTATTTCATTTAAACCCATTACGTGGGTTTCACCAGTAATTGGCAACAGCTTGCAATGATGTACATCTGAGTCCATGAGATGGAGGAAAGGTAGCAAGGGAAGGGCATAAAAAATTAAAGTAGAACCCCAAGAGTGCATGTTCTCACTTATCTGACAACATTCAAAGTTCGCTGGTGGGATAAAAACAAGAACTTTGTAGGTGTTTGTAGGCATTTCACGGTTAACTATGAATTAGCATTTTGCTAAATGGCTAGCAAAGCCAAACAGCGTTGCCCTTTGTTTACATCCTTACTACAACATAAATGGCCCCACCCTTTTGCCTTTTCTGGGGGAGGGTTTATGTAAATTTACAGGCTTTGTGATGTCACTAACCCAGGAAGTAGCTTGTTGTAGTCCTTACCAGCTGTTTGTTGTAGGCCTTAAAAAGCGAATTCTGTAAAAGACAATTTCGCCCTTTGCATTGAACTTTGAGCGTCGTAACTTTGCAGATGTTGTTTATGATTAAACGGCCACATTACACACTAACTAAAGTTAAAAAAAGTGAAATCATAATCAATGACCCCTTCAAATTAGGAAATGTGCAGTGTTGGGGCTCCAGGAACAGGTTTGGGAACTAAAGTGATCTACATGTTCATAACATACCATTAACATGATAATGACAGAATGAATTGGCACGTCAAATAAAATTAGTTTTCATGACATCAGGAAGAAGCGGTGATAAGAAGTAGTTTGCACGTGGAGTTGCTTGATGAATCAGTTTCATTATGTATAAACTGATCAGGTTGTGTATCAATCCAAAACCCCTTCTGCAAAGAAAAAATAAATAAATCATGTAATGCTCAGTAAACCGTGAGATTATTATTTGTGATATTTGAACAAAATATATGGATATAACATGTTTAAAGCTAAATTGATCAACAACCTCAGCAACTGTTTCGTTATGTATATATTATGTATGTATGTCAGTTTGTGTAGTGATTGTGAAGATGATAAATTACACAAAAATTACTTATCAGACAATATATACAAAACAACTTTAATAGTTTTAAATCCTATATAAATGAATTATCATTCTAACTAATAAACTTTATATACAATAAAAATAAAACATACTTTACTTCAAATGGTTTGGACACCTATGCAATAAAGGCTATGCACTCGTGCAGACACGGAGAGTTTAAACCAGCCGTTTAAAAGCCTTGTGTGTAAATGTTACGTCCTCCGAGTCTAGGGTTGGTGAGGGGCAACATAAAAAGTAATTCTTCTCTCTCCACCCCAGAACATCACAAGACCACAACAGTAGGCATTTAAATAAACAATAAGTTCATTTAAAAGGAAGCGGTGAACTTCAGGAGGGGGTCTGTCCAACATAACAAAGAGAGCATTAAACATTGATTAAACACGGTAACTTATCTAAGATGGATAATGTCTGTTCTATAAACAGAAAAGTGATTATCAAAAGACTGCTGCCAATATAACACACAGGTTCTTAATTTTAATATCTCTATTTTTGCAAGAATTTAATAGAAGAAAATTACTAGCCTAGCAATACCATCTTTGATAACATTAATACACTCCGCTAACATGTAGAGATCTGGAGAGTTCTTCAGGTTGTGTAGGAAATCTAAAACTGACAAGCACAGGCACATAGAAATCTAATGTTTATGTTTCTAAAGATCATGCAGTGTGAACCTGGAATTGAAGTTGCTGGTTTGCTGCTCTTCTCACACTGCACCACTGTCTGGGATACCATTTATGATGCTTTTCCACTGCGTGGTACGACTCGGTTCGGCTCGGCACGGTTTGCGTTTCCACTGCAGTTCAGTACCGCTTTAGAGTGGGCAGGATTATTCACATGTCGTTATCCAGGTACTGTACCCAGTGGAAAACCCCCAAAAAGTGAACCGTACCGAGCCGTACCATGCAGTGGAAAAGCGCCAATAGTTGCTGTTATGTGCACACTACACACCAGGGCTGCATTTCCCAAAAGCATCGTAAGCCTAAGTACATCGTAGACCCATTGCCACCAATGGAGCTATGATCATCTTAGGCTTACGATGCTTTGGGAAACGCAGCCCAGATCAGCGACTTCTCAGTAGGAGTAATCACAACCCTGTATGCTCAACAAAGTGTAATCAAAGCAAAGTTTAATCAAACACACTTGAACAATCTAAAATAAGTCTTCAGGATTTCTTGAACATTACAGGCAGGTGTGTTTAATTAGGGTTGGAATGGCCCTCTGCTGGGCGGTGGCCATAAAAAGACCAAAGTTACACATCCCTGATCTACAGGGACAGTCTCTGTTATGATGGGGCTTCATTTCTGAAAAGAAATTGCTAAGCTAAACTGAAAAGCTAAAAGTTAACAATATCGAGTAGAGTTTCTGAGAGCAGCTTATTGTATGTAGGATCTAAAGGTTTTGATGCTTTACATGTTGAATGTTTATGTATACATTGCTTTGTGCCATTTTAAACTAGGGTTATTTTTCTATTTATTTTTCCACCTTAGACCCAATGGCACTGAAGGAGGAGAATCAAGAACTGAAAGAAAATGAACATAAAGATCAGTATGAAGAAACATGCTTTCATAACCGGAGAAAATCTTTTAGCTGTTCACAGAAAATGCCTGAAAACACTTTGTCACAAAAAAGAGCTCAAAAGACTGGAACTAGACGTCGTTTTACCTGCCAGCAGTGTGGAAAGAGTTATACTAATAAAAATAGCCTCAAATTCCACATGAGAGTTCACACAGGAGAGATACCTTACACGTGTCAACAGTGTGGAAAGAGTTTCATTCGACCAGCAAGCCTCAAAGTCCACATGAGAATTCACACTGGAGAGAAACTGTTTACTTGCCCACAGTGTGGAAAGAATATCGGTCAAAAAGGACACTTTATTATCCACATGAGAACTCACACTGGAGAAAACCCATTCACCTGCCAACAGTGTGGAAAAAGTTTCAGTCGAAAAGGAATCTTGAAAGTCCACATGAGAACTCACACTGGAGAAAACCCATTCACCTGCCAACAGTGTGGAAAAAGTTTCAATCAAAAAGGAAATCTTGACGGCCACATGAGAATTCACACTGGAGAGAAGCCATTTGTTTGTGATCAGTGTGGAAAGAGTTTCAGATTTTCAGTAGCCCTTAATCAGCACATGAGGATTCACTCAAGAGAGAACTCTGAAATTAATGTCAATCAGACTGAAAATACTTTGTCGCAAAAAAGAGCTCAAAAGACTGGAACTAGATGTGATTTTACCTGCCAACAGTGTGGAAAGTGTTATACTAATAAAGGTAGCCTCAGAGTCCACATGAGAGTTCACACAGGAGAGAAACCTTACATGTGTCAACAGTGTGGAAAGAGTTTCAATCGACCAACAAGCCTCAAAAGACACATGAGAATTCACACTGGAGAGAAACCGTTTACTTGCCAGCTGTGTGGAAAGAATATCGGTCAAAAAGGACACTTTAATGACCACATGAGAACTCACACTGGAGAAAACCCATTCACCTGCCAACAGTGTGGAAAAAGTTTCAGTCGAAAAGAAAACTTGAAAGTCCACATGAGGATTCACACTGGAGAAAACCCGTTCACCTGCCAACAGTGTGGAATAAGTTTCAATCAAAAAGGAAATCTAGACGCCCACATGAGAATTCACACTGGAGAGAAGCCATTTGTATGTGATCAGTGTGGAAAGAGTTTCAGATTTAGAGGAGCCTTAGATGACCACAGGAGGATTCACAGTGGAGAGAAGATTTAAGTGTCTTCTGTGTGAAAGGAGTTCACATATCATAGACACGAAAAGTCATTTGCAAACTCACTCTGGACAGAAATGACAAAGTTCCAAGTGTGAAAAGAGATTTACAAAAAGGAGCAATTTAAAAAAATCACCTGCTTGTTCATTCTGGATGAAGCTGATTTAATTGTGATCAGTGTCACAAAAAGTTCTTTTTCAGATGCATGTGGAAAGTCATGCATACAGTAGACCCTATTCTTGTTCTTTTTGTGGACAGAGTTTGAAGTGGCTCAGAATGTGCCTCAAATTCAGATACTCCATGTTCCTAAAAGAATCCACCATGATCATCACAAGTGGTTTGGCCATGTTCAGATAGTTCATTTGCATTCTACTTCTCTTTAAACTTTAAATTGAAGCTTTTTATTTTCTTTTGTCATGTTCATATGAATGCATGTGGCCACACCCATTCATCTTCTTTGCTATAATTTAAAATATTGAGCAGTTATGGTAGATGCTCTGATTTAAAATGTATAGAGTTGTTGCTGATTTATTAGATTAAGGACAATGCGTTGAAATTAATAAATTGCATAAAGCCATCTACACTGCATTCAGAAAGTATTCAGACCTTTTTTTTTTACATTTTGTTTTCCTTAAGCTAACATTCTTTTAATTATTTTTTACACCAGTCTACACTCCATACCCCATAATGACAAAGCAAAATTTCAGTAATTTATTGAACCACCTTTCTGCAGGGATTACAGTCTCAAGTCTTTTTTGGACTTGTGGATTTTCTGCCATTGATCTTCGCTGATCAAGCTGGCAGGTTGGATGGGGACAGTTATTGAACAACATTTAATATTTTCAGTTTTCTTCACAGACGTTTGATTGGTTTCAAGTGTGGGTTTTGTCTGGGCCATTAAAGGGCATTCTCTTGAGTCATCACTCTGATGTTGTCTTGGCTGTGTAATAGAAGGTGAACATCATGTGGCCTAGTACTCTTGAGCAGGTTTTCATTAAGCATACATCTGTATTTTGGTGCATTCAGCTGTCCTTCTACATAGACCAGTACTTCAGTCTCCACCACTGAAAAACAGCCCCAAATCATGATGCTAGCACCACCATTCGTTATTGCTGAGATGGTGCAGGTGATAAGCAGATCCTGGTTTCCTCCAGATGTCATGCTTGGAATTTAGGTTCATCAGACAAGAAAATATTGTTTATCACAGTCTGAGAATTCTTTAGGTGCCAAGCAGGCTTTCGTGTGTCTTGCACTGAGCACAGGTTTTTCTTCAGGTTTTTCGAGTTTCTTCTGGAGCTCAACCACTGTTGATTGGAGGAGTAGTTACCAAGAACCTGACAAAGGCCTTTCTTCCCTGATTGCTCAATTGGGCCAGACGACCAGCTCTAGGAAGAGACCTTGTTGTTCCAAACTTCTTCCGTTTAAGAATTATGAAGGCCACTGTGCTCTTCAACATTCAATGCAACCAAATATTTTTGTAATCTTCTCCTGATGTGTTGCTGGACACAATCCTGTCTCTGAGCTCTGCAGGTTCAGATCTGCATTAGATAAGTCTGAGAATTAAAGGGTTAGTTCACCCAAAAATTAAAATTCTGTCATTAATTACTCACTTTCATGTCGTTCCAAACCCGTCAGACCTTTGTTCATCTTTGGAACACAAATTAAAGGAACACTCCACTATTTTTGAAAATAGGCTCATTTTCAAACTCCCCTAGAGTTCAACAGTTGAGTTTTACCATTTTCGAATCCATTCAGCCGATCTCCGGGTCTGGCGGTAGTAGGGGTGCAACGGTTCAACTTACTCGCGGTTCTGTTTGTATCATGGTTTTGGTACGGTTCGGTATGTGCTATGTTTAGGGAAAAACTATATTGTCAAATAAAAATAAAGAAAGTAAGAACACAAATAAATACAATAGAGCAAAGATACAAATAAAATAAACAGTGCTTTTCAGGTTTTTTAGGTAGGTCTAACATTAGATTTTAGGGACAGAAATTGAATAAAGTAATCAAATGTAAAACCTAGCTGGGGACTATTTTCAGGTGCTGCGTAATATCATTGCGCCTGCTGCACCCATGGTACGGCAGCAAAGTTCCTTGATTATTACGCCGGAATGAGAGTATAATTCCTATCCATATCGGCCTAGAAAATCGCAACTTTTCATTTTCCGTCAGTCTTAGTACACAGTGTAACGACAGAAGAGTCAAGTTTTAAATAGGAAAAATATAGAAACTTTTTGGTCATTTTTGAGCGAGATGCTAACGGTCTAATCCGATTCAATGATATATGCTAAGCTACAGCTAAAAGTGCTACCGCCAGACCCGGAGATCGGCTGAATGGATTCGAACACGGTAAAACTCAAATGTTTAACTCTAGGGGAGTTGGAAAATGAGCCTATTTTCAAAAATAGTGGAGTGTTCCTTTAAGATATTTTCGATAAAATCAGAGAGCTTTCTGACCCACCATAGAAAACAAAAACAATGATTTTATTCAACAGTTTCTTAGTATATGAGACCATGAGCCGCACGCTAAAAAAAAGTATTCTTTTTACATTTTATTTTACATTCATCACCAATAGGAAAAAACACAAACGTTTCGGCTCAAGGTCTTCTTCAGTGTGTAAAGCAATTCAATCCCTCCACCCACTTTTTAATTCATTAATTAAAGTGTTGTCATTATTAATTAGCCAGTGTTCAATCACTAAACACACACGTATTCCATTTAAATACTGGACAATTTCCATTTTTATACATCACATCCACTAATACGCTACATAATATACCCCTGACTAAAACATGAATTGTGTAGGATCCCACATTTATCACTATTATACAAACAAGCAATTTAATTAAACAATCACCAGTATCTACTACACAAATAACATTTTAAATGTATAACAAAGGAAAGTTAAATTATTGAAATCGTCAGAAATACATCGTCATAAATAATCACTGATTTTCACACTGTGAATACTCGAGATCTACAACACAAAATATTAAATATGTATTTGACCAATTAAAATTCATTAAATTCATTCAACAATTTCTTCTCTTCTGTGTCAGTCTCCGCCGCGTGTTCACGAAACTAGCACAACGTATGCGGCATTCTGACATGGAACCCGGATGCACTGCGCTGTGTTTACAAGCAGAGGAAGATGCATGCTGTATACAAGCTATTGAATTCTACATTGATTGTGCTTTGTCTTGGTGTAGTCTTTAAAATGGTGCTAAAGTGTGCACTGGATGCCCGAATCGCAGCGCATCCGGGTTTTACATCAGAACGCCGGCTCCCGCGTCAGCAGCACCACACGCATGAGAACTCATGGCAGAGAAGAAATTGTTGAATACACTCATTATTTTAGTTTTCTTCACTCAGCAAAAGTATTCTCGTAGCTTCATAACATTATGGTTGAACCACTGATGTCACTGTTTTAACGATGTCCTTACTACCTTTCTGGGCCTGGGTTTTTCAGTTGTGTTGCTGTCTATGCAGGGTCAGAAAGCTCTCGGATTTCATCAAAAATATCTTAATTTGTGTTCTGAAGAGGAACGAAGGCAGCTTGTGGTTAAACTGTGCATCTCTTAACAGACCCAGGGCTCCATATCATTGAACCTTCAACAAGGATGTTGTCCTGCGGAAGAGTCCAGCTGATGATGCAATCATGAAACAGCGGACCAAACACTTGCATGAAATTAGACATGAATTAAGTGCATTTGAATGTGATAAAAACAAAAAAAAAGGGACAATACAAAAAATCAAAGATGGCTTCAAAGAAAAATGTCCACCAGATGTAAGGTATGAGTCCTTGTATGTGCATTCATGCCATGTTGTAATTACCATAAAAAAGCATTCATGCCCACGTAGAACTTGTAATTACAGCTTCTAAACTGGGAATTTTCTTAGAGCTCCCACTTGTACCATGTGACCACTGAACCACCTGACCACTGCAGATTACTTTAGGCACTGATGGTGTTGCCATAGAAATGCTTAATTAATTAATCCAAGCAGAATGTCACATGTTATAATCTCAAAATTACGGTCTTCTGCTAAACACAAAAAGGTATTTATAAAAAAAGTCCCTCACCACTGTCATTACATGCTGCATGTTGCATACATTATGAATGGAGCCATATCCAATATGATTGTGTTTATGTCTTTTTTCTGCTAGGGCTAATCTTATAGGCATGTTATAATTAATTACATTGGGTTACGTATTGAATAGATTTCAGATACATCTTGAATTACTTTCATTGCATTTCAAATTGTTACATTTTAAATTATATTTAAAATTAATTATGAAGAACTAATAGTCAATATAATGTTACAAACATGCCAAAACACTAGCATTTGGACCAATCAGACACACAATTGTTCATTAGATTAACAAATAAGCACAGACCCCACACCAGACTCTGTGCCTATATGTCTGTAAACGTCCTCCAGGCCCCTGGTTACCATGGCAACCAGGACACCTCAGCCAGACCAAATAAACTTTACGACCTAAAAGTATGTAGAGAGAATCTTCCACCTCTACTTAATTCTCTCTAAAACAGACACATACGGCTATAGGACATTATTTCATTCATTCATAGACAATTTTTTCTATAACCTTCCTATCATGCATATCCCCAGGTCATTGTGTATGATTATGTTCTTTTATATGGTCTTGTCTATTGTATACTGTTTTATGCATGCTTATGATAGATCACTAGTTAATACAATTTCATCTATACCATGTTTGGTCTCTATGAATTCGTCTTCGCATGATCTAATTGAAAGTGTATATTATATGTTTATACCTGTGCAACATATTAGTGTTCTAAGAATTTTTAGTAGTTTTTGCATCAACACCCAATCGAATTACATATGCATAATACCATGCTCTAAGACAAAGAGTCGTAGACTTTCCCTCCAAAAGTGCAAGTCACCATTGGCTCTTTGACCCCCGAGAGGTGTGACCTCCACAGAACTTAAAAGGCCTCACTTTAGTGATCCGTCTGGCTTTTAAGTCTCTTCACTCGTCTCTCATCACCTTCCTGTCTGCTGGTTGTTAAGTCCCAGAGCCGACGCAGCCGCACCTGGCAGACCTCGACACAGCCAGTCTGCAGTTCTGTTAGATTCAGAGAAGATGAGGATGTGAGCTAGAACTCTTCTGGAACCCTTAAGTTTGTGCCAGGCTTCGGCCTTGACTTTCCATTCACCAAAGATCCTAGGATCTCAGCTGATGTCTCTCTTAGCTCTTCTTCACTTTCCACCTGGGAAGAAACTCCCAATCACCATCGAGTCAGAACATCTTTGGAGTTCATCACTCTTCAAACCCGGAAGAAGGTGCATGATCGCAAGTCCAAACCTTGAAACCATCAAGACTTTCATCCTGCATCAAACTGCATCCGGACACATCTGGCAATGCAAGAATCGTACATTTAACTAAACGAAACAGAGGTTTAGTATAAGCTATAGACCCCGTTGTAAAACGGCGCTGATGGTTTTTAACTCAACGGTTAACTGACTCCTTTTCCATAGCTGCATTTTCTTGTTTTTCTAATGGTTCGTCCAGTCTCACTTGCCCTGCCCCCATGTATAAGTGATTGTATGTTTGT